TGTTGTTGTTGGGGGGGGAAATTATTAAAACCCATGATCTCTACAGGGCAAATTTGGTATATTAGCTGTGCCCTAAAATTCTGTGCATGATTGTTTTGTATCTATCCACAGAGTGAGTGTTTGGTAAGGATACCTAACACACTAATACTTCATTATGAAATACTTTTAAAATATTCTTGAATTTACTTTTTCTTTCTTGTGATTTAGGTGTAGGCAAGAGATTGCGCTGAAAAAAGAAAAAAAAGTACATACTAAGACAGAAGAAAGAAAAACATTTTTTGAAAATGCTCAGCTGAATGGTAGTAGGGATGAGAATATCCTTACTTCAAGTGAAAAGGTTTTTATTTCTACTCCAGTTTCTTTAATAAATTACTCTTCACTTTTTATTTTAATATACTTGCTAGTTTGTTTTTAAATAATTTTATACTTAAGAAATACATGAACACAAAAAATCATTAAAAATGCGTACTACTTAAATTCTGCTGGCAGGCATCAGCTGAATGTAAGCTGGGTTTGCCTGGCATATTATTTGTATTGCGGAACAACAAAAATAGAATCTGTATTCATACAAAGTAAAACTACTTCTACAAATGGAATTTGGGATTAATGCAAATCAATGGAAAAGACTGAGAAGCAAAAAAGACATTGTATTTACTCTTGGTCTCAATTTTTTCTTTTTCCTCTCTCCATTACATCGCTACATACTGTCTTGCTCCCTCTTATACATTGTTTTAAGGGCATGCAAATATTTCAGCTCTGTCTTTATGTCTCTTCTTTAGGAAGATAATTGCCTTACTGATATTCTTAAAGCTTACCTCCACGTTCCTCTTTATTATGGCAATTCTGTCCTTGTTTTCATCACATCATTTTGCTCCCTTTGTATATTTTTCCATTCTTGTGCATGTAAAATATCTTTTTTTCTAATTACTAATCCCTCTCGAGTCACCTCTTTTAGCTTTTGCAAAGTTTTTCTCTTTGATTGTTTTAGTTATCACCAAGAATCAACTTCTTCATGACAGTAGCAGATCTGAAGTAGTTAATCTGTTCTAAAATTAGTTTTAATAGTATATACTTATTAGTTGAATGCCTTTTGAGGATTATAAAATCCAAATCTCACAGTAAACCTGTTTTTCCTGTAATATAACATTGAATTTCGAAGTTAGAAAATAGAGCTGGACTGTGGGTTATATCAAGAATTGAATATGATAGTTAATAACAGTTTGTATTCCATCTAGTTTTTTTGAAATTTATGAAGGTGTAATACTTTGTTATTTTTCAGTTTTTTGAGTTAAATGCGGTAACAGGAAAGGGACTGAGTGCACTTTCTTTCCCTTACTTGTGGATGGAAAAAGCTGAAGTACTAATTCAGCTAGGCTTGTATCAACCAGCAAGACTTCTGCTTTCAGAGGCCCATGCTGCAACTCAGGTACATCAGAAATAAAATATAAAAAGAAAAATTAATAAAATGTAGAGGGAAAATGTTCATTTTGATGCAGGTCGTTCCTAATAATAATAATAATAATAATAAAATTGCAAAACCAAACCTTCTCCCCCCTGCCCTAAACCTGTGTCATTTCAGTTTCAACATATATAAGGTGTACATTTAAATGTATGGCACTGTCCAACTTTATGGGAATTGTCCAAAGATTATTTCAACTTGTGAAGTAGTGTCAGCATCTCTGCTTTGCAGTGACCTTGGAAGATGTATGTATATCCAAACCTTGTTTGTTAAAATAGTTAGGGACATTTAAGATTTGCTTATAAGAGAGAGTGAGCATTTAGCTCCATCCTCTCAACATTTTGATCATTTGAAAGTCTAGTTATATCATTTCGAATTTGTTACGGTCTTACTGTGTTTTGATAAACAGCCACTGACACTGAAATTATGACTTAGAATTCTGGCAGATCTGAAATAAGTGCCTGTATGTTCCACCAAACAAATCCACATCGCCTCATTATTATGAAGGGTTTACATTAAAGATATTCTTCCTATATGTACTGTTCTCTGTTATAGCTCTCTTCGTGGTTATACGGGTTACTGAAACATAATTATTGCAATAAATCCTTTACTTTTAAAAAAATGTAATTGTTATCCTGTTATTCCACATAATTTTTCTCATGTAAGTAAAAACTGCCTATGTATATTTAGCATGGATCATGAATACTTTGAAAAATAGTATATTAATAATATATTCATTAATAATATAGGTCTCTTATTAAAGCATGAATTTAGTATTGTACATTGAGAAAAGCTCAAAAGACATTAGGGAGGACAATAATTTTAATGATATAATTTCTTTCTAGTATCCTGTATGTCTATATGCTAGCATACTATCTATACTGTATACTATATTTGTCTCTTGTATACTACTAGTATATCACTTATAACTAGCATAAAGTAGCATTGTAAATTTACTGGAGCTCTAGTGTATCTAGATCCCAGTTCACTAAAAAATTTTTCATCACGACATTTCTTCACCAGATACTGACAAATGATAGCAGATATACATACTAAATAATAGCAGAAAAATAGCTTATTTGACTTGTGGGGTAGAAGATAAGGGAACATAAAGAAATATAAAATATATTTGAAGATTTGAAGTTCTTGATATGAAGTAGACACGTTATGTTTTTGAAAAAAAACAAAGTAATATAAGGAGTAACTAAGAAATTCTACAGATAATTGAGGAAATACCATTCGCTTCTTATTTCTGTGCCTGTTCATAATTTTAATCTAAAATATGAATAGAAGTAAATATGAATAGCGGTAGTAGGTCTTTTGTATATAGGTCACATATCTTTCTTCCTAGGAATTGAGGGCCCTGTACGATGTGTCAAGGTGCTTGTACTTACTTGCTGTGTTGGCTAATCTGGAAAGAAACCACGGACAAGCTAAAGCACTCCTTGAGAAAGCACAGCTTCTAGGAGGAAATGAACAGTTTTGGTACAACAGTACTCTTAGTCTAATAGAAGCAATTCTAGAGGAAGAGGGGGAAGGAAAACAGAGCATGGTAAGGAATTTTTTTGGGTTTGGTGGTTGGTTTTTTTTGCAGCAGTGGTGCCTCTCAGTGAAGAGAAATGTTACAGCCTTTGCATTTGAATAAAAGCAAAAATAGGTGTTAAATGCAGTTAGTGTTGTTTTCTCTGTTGTGCATTCAACAAATATTAGTTACAGATTCTAAACAGATGCAGGCCAGTAGGAATGAGATTTTACCCACAGAAGTTTAGGATGTTTTTATGATAAGCTGTATATCTTTCTGTTGAAATAAGAGCAATTGTAATCTAATATGTGTAACTAAATCCCAGAGATCTGATTCTCTTGGTTAGAATGCTTTTGTACTCAGACTGTTAACACTGATGTGTTTATTTTCCATAGTTAATGAAGATTATAACTTTCAATATTATTTCCTAGTATGCACTTCCTTTTCAAATATTTCAAATAGTTTTACAAATATTATTTCTAGATTCTGAAAGATACTACTGTAAGTATAATATATATGTTTATTAAAAACCTTTTCCTATTTGACCCTTAACATTAAAATATCCATTTACTGTTCAACCCTTAACTTACATGAGTTTCACCATAAATACAATGCTGTTGTGTCTGTGATGATCTGTCCTTTATTGATAATCTGTATGAGTCTGTTTTGTATAGGGGGATTATTTTAATTTGCGCTGAACTCACATTTACAATCATTGAAGGACAAAATACCTGGTTACCAGTGGGAGTATTTACTAAGGTTTTACCAGTGTAGCTATTAATGAAATGTGTGAGGTGGATTTTTTTTTTCCTCTACATGTCTGACCAACATGAATGCAGCAGCAAAATTTTTTAATAAGGACAAATTGGTAGATGAGGTTTTGAGTATCATCTAAGGGCTTTTTCATTCAAAACTATTAGTTGGGGACTTCTTTTACATCCCCAGGTGGCAAAACTATAATAGTGTAAGGTTTACTTGTGGATTAATACGCTAGTCGGTGTAAGTAAGCATGCAGGAATCTGTCCCTAAGAGGATGCCAGTGAAATACAGAATCAAATGACTATTTAGGTTAGAGGTCATCTGGTCTAACCCCAGGTAAAAAGGGGCAATTTTGAAGTGAAATCTGACCTTACTGTTGAATCAAGTTGTTCACTTTTCGAATATCTCCAAGAATGGAAATTCCACGACCTTTCTGGGCCTTTGTTACCAAAAAAAAAAAAAAAAAAGTGACTATCAAGATTGCCAAACACTGGAACATCTGTTTACAATTCCTCTTTTTCCAGATTGTGCCTGTTGCCCCTCGTTCTTTTGCTATGTACCTCTAAGATGAGTCTGGCTCCATCTTCTCTCCTTGTGTGTATGTGCTCCATTCACTTAATCATATCAAAGTATCTAAATATGAACATAACTCATACTTTCTAGACTTATATACAGTTGTCAAGAATCAGTCATCTTGGGGAATATTAAAAAAAAAATGTTCTGCACAAAATTTAAGCTTTCTGAATTCATGTTTAAAATCAGACATTTTAAAAAGAATTACGAAATTTCTGATGTTACCTGCAGGCTTGTGAGATACTGGACCACACTGTAAATGTGCTCAGATCTACTTTACTGAAGAGACCTAACAGACAATCGGAGTTGGGTTTTATAATTGCATCCCTTGAAGCCAGGTAACTGTCTTTTCATTAAAATATGCCCAGCCTCTACTACGCAGCTACATTGCAAATACATGGTGATTTTTACCATTCGTCTTTTCTTTAGTATGGTGCATTCTGTGGATTCTCAAATATTTTTCTTCTAAGTAATCCATGGTTTGGGTTTTTTTTAAATTTAGATTTCCTTTCCAATTTCTTCATTCTTATATGTAGCCCTGCTACCTGTTAAGTTAGTAAGCTAGTTCAGATACCACAACCTATTGTGCATAGTTTCTGGTATAGGTTACCCAAATGAGCAAGATACATTTGCCTATGCAGGGGTATCTGTTTGAGCACAGATATTCCCACAACACTATTGTAGTCTGCAATATTGACCTACTTCTCTCCTCACCATGATCCAAGAATTCTTTTTATGGTGAAACTAAACAATGATTTTGGTTGCATTGAAATCCAAGCACAGGGAGCTTAAAATGTGTTGGTAAAAGGAGAGAAGTATATAACATTTACACTTCCTTCTCCTTCCAGAAATGTGAAACTTTTGGGTTAGAAAGGGAAGACTAATCATCTTTTCAGTTCAACTGTATTTAGAAGACTGATTAGGCCTAGGCAGTTTGAATAATTAGATACATGGAACAAGTGACACCTCAATCCTAATCTGAAAATATAGTATTTTGATTTTTTTCGAGACCTACTATAATTTGTAGACCACAGATCTAAAGAATGAAGAGGCTTTTTCTAGATTTCTTATAATTTAAAGGAGAGCAGAGAGAAATAATGTCTGTTTTCAAACACAGCCTGTGCTGTCTGACTGCTATCTTGTACTTAATTTTTATTCCTAGGAAAACACTTATTCAGATACATTTTGCCCAAGATTGTATGACAATTAATGCTGAGTCTTGTCAGTTGCCACATACGCTACAGGAATCTTACAATAAATTAGTTCAAATTGAGAAGGACTTCTTTCATTATGGGCATAAAAACTACAGTGCTGAGATACTGCTAGAATGTGCAAATATTCACAGGTAAGATTATACCTCTGATGAAAAATTTTATTTAAGTTTACTAGTCCACGGAGTGTATTTTTTACATTTTTATAGGCTAATTAAAGATGGAAAAGAGGAGATAATATTGTCAGGTTTTATATCTTGGTGTTACACATCTATTTGCATTCTTGATGTGTTCTGTGTTCAGAAAAATACTGCAGAATCAAAAATTCTTTTCACTGAAGGCAGAGTTAATCTTACATGCTACTAGTAATTTTTGTACTGTTTTTGAGGTCAAAACAAAGTATCGAGGTCTCTAAGTCAGCTTTTTGTCTTCCCATTTGTAACGGCATTTTGGCAGCCACACCAATCATTCTCAAGTATTTATAGGCTTTTACAATTCTTACTGTTGAAATGGTTCTCTAGAAATTGCTGTAATAGCAAAAATGCAAAACACGGTGACTTGACTCCCAGCTGTTTCCAAGATGTCCCCTTAGAACGACTGAAATATGTTTTGTACCTGGCTATTCTGCCATTTTGTTCCTGGTGAATACATACTCCAGAATTTTCTGACTTTCTTCTCTTTGTGTCTTAGCATCTTGTTGCATTGCACCAGTACAATTCCAAGAAAAGACCTTGAAAAAAATAATGTGTTGAATGTTCACTGTTCCTATTCAAACATTTAGAAAGCACATGTACAAAATTAATCTATTTTATCTATTAATTTATCTATTTAATCTATTAATCTAATCTATTAATCTAATTATTTTATTATATATGTTGAATAGTGTTGATACCATAGAAATAAACACTTTCTTACCTTAGTTCCTTTGGATTTATGGGGGTTTTTTTCAGGATGATTGCCAAGCAGGAAAGAAACAAAGAAGAAAAACATAGTCACTATCTAGATGCTTATGACTTAGCTCAGAGGGCAGTATCCAAAACAGAGGAAGTGTTTCATAATGTTTGCAGCTTATTTGCAGTTAATGAGGTATGGCGATATATATATATTTTCCTATTCATGGAAAAGAAATCTGGTTTAGTTGTACTATTCACTCATTTTTGGATAATTCCTGGAAGCCCCAAATGAGATTATCTTCCTGTGGTGATAAGCATTGTTCGAATATAGAAGAAAACGTTGCATGCCAAAAGAATTTACAGTTTAAAAGGGAAGAAGAGAAGCAGAAATAAGAGGATTTGTTTGGTCTTTGTCAATTTTATTTAATTCTAAAATTTATCAATAGCTACAAAAGAAAAGGTCTAAACTTGGAGTTACTTTTGATTCTCTAAATACCTCACAAGTTTAAAATTCTCCACAATAAAGTGTTTATTTCTCAGAAGGAAAAAAAAGGTTACACAGAACGTTATGTAAATAAAGAAAGCCTGTCTTCAAAATCACGTATTTTGGGTAATGAAAGCCTGCAGCCTACTTTGCTAGTGTGTACCATTATTATAGTCTAGCATCCAGCTTTTTTTCCTGCTTTGCCTTTTTTAAAGAGCAAGGATTTTTGTGCAGCTACCAAAACCATTAATATTAAAATCCTGGGTTTATGTACACATTTATAACTCCTTTGGCATTAGATATTTGTACCAGGTACGTAAGATGTGTAAAGCAAAAACCCAGCTGCTCTTTTTCTATGCAGCTACTTTTATTGTTTTATAATATATTTGACATTGAAGTTTATCCTTTAAATTACATAAGTATCTTCATAGCAATCTCTCTGGTCTGTTGAGGTGATATTGTTGAAATGTTTGCTTCTTTAGTTAAACGAAATACAACATTCTAACTTCTTAACAGGTAAATTTGCAAAAATATTTGAAATTAGAATTCTACTTTCTTTTATATTTCAGACTACAAATATTAGTATCCCATTAATGAGGCAACTAGCTAACAGGAAGATAAATCTTGTAGAAATTCTTTTGGATATTTTTCATCTTGTTATTACTGAGAAAAAGCTTAAAAAGGTGGGAGAAGCATCATCTCATAGAATTGTGGAGGCATTCATCAGGGGAACTATTGAAGATGATGCAGCAGAACAGGTAATACAAAAGATTTAGTCCTATGATTTGCATATAAAAGGTATAACAAAGTTTCCCAGGGATGTTTTCCATAGCAGAACTTCTTCCACTACTGAGGACATGGGTCCCCAGACCATTCATGTAGTTTTGCAGCAAAGAAAGTTCAAGCATGTGGTTTTTGTCTTGGGGATGGTTTATTGGGGTTGGTTTTGTTTTGTTTTCTTGGAAAGATTTTGTTTCTCAGATGCAGAGACTTAAAAACCACTAAGAGTAGCAGGGAAATTACTTGAGGCTTTATAATTGACAGGGAGGTTTTTTGCATTATTGTCTCTTCTTTTTAAAACAGTTGGTTTTAAGCAGAACTGCCTAACTGAGCTGATGAATAAGAACGTAAGACATGCCCCACTAGAACAAAGCAGTAATTCTTGCCCCTTATTCTGTCTCTGACAATGACAATAGGAAATGCTGTTACAGGAAAGCACAATATCCCCACTGTTCTCCTCGGTACCCTCCCCTTATCTCATGTTTTCCTCAGCACTGATTGTTGTTTGCTTATGGATGTTAGAGGTTTTTTTATCAATTGCTAATGAATTTGTATATCTGAGCTCGTTTGTAGTTGAAAGTGTAATCACATTTAACAAATGTGCTTGTATGTAAATATGTGTTATGTTTTTTTAAAAAGTATGTTTCTGTATGTGTGGGTATATATGAGCAAATAAACATAAATATGTATTTTACCAGGATTGGAAGCGTATGGAATGCACTGTGGGTCATATTGCACTGGCTCAGTTAGCAAATGTACAGAATCTTTGTAAAGGCTGTCCTGACATCAAATCCAAATGCCTATATCTCACTGGAAAAACTCTTCATTTACTTGCCATTAACGTAGATCCTGTACATTCAGAGATTTATTGGAAGCGAGATGTTATGGTATGCATTCTTTTCTGCATTTAAATTCGTTCCTTTGTGTAAAGTTTGTCTGTCACAATATTTTTTCTGCATACATTTATATAATACTACTCTTTATTTAGAGATAGGTTTTATGTATTGCATGCAAGCCATAATAAAAATATATACTGACCCAAGTAATTTCAGAAAAATGCTTCTGCCTTACATGCCATCCTCATGTAGATAATTTTTTGATTCTTTCGTGAGATATACTAATTACAATATTTTCAAAAGAGACAGAAAAAAAATTCCTTGAATGCCTTAAAAGGCTAGGTACGTTGGTCTCTGTATCCATGCAAACAAGAAGTAATGACTTGTAGCTTAAAAGGTCAGATTCGTAAGTTCCTTTTGTGTTGTAGTAAGAACACCATGTAAGAAAAGGAAAGTTGATTGAGTCATTATAAATTCAGTGATGAATTAAAGTGTTCAGAAGAAATTAACTGAGGACAAATACCAGAAAATCAAAATCTTAGAGGTTGTATGGTGGGCCTTTTTAGTCTTTATTAGTCATATTGTCATCATAACATATTAAGAAATTTTGATGCCTGGTAATATTGCTAAATCTGTCACCATCAAGTGATTCATATAGTGAGATGATTTCTTTTAAGATGAGTTCCATTTTCACTTAGACTTTCACAAAAGAAATGAAGCCAGCCATACTTAATGGAATGATTAATTATTCTTTTTTTATACTGTGATGAGCAGGAAGAAGCTAAATCAGACATCACAAAAACTTTCCTGACTTCAGCAGGTTGCAGTGAACAGGAAGTGACAGACAGCAGATTACCAACTAATAAATGTCAATATGATAAGTATAGGAGGAAAATACAGGAATTAAAGGTATTTTAGCCTATGTGCTTGCATTAGAATTTGAGTGCTTCCTTTTTATGGAATAATAGTCACCTTACCTTATCAGTTCTGTTTGAACTGATAATGTTCAACTGATAATGAAATGTTTGTAACATAAATTTGATCTTACAAAAGAAAAAAAATCTCCAAAACAACCCCCAAAACCCCAGCTTTCCATCACTACTCTGCTGTGTATCTCTGTCCTGCCCCTCAATACATGCTGTGGGAGCTCCTGATTGAGCTTTCCTAGTTGCTCCCAGAAAGAAACAATTTCTCCTTCAGTGGTTTCCCACTGATTGAGCATGTAGCAGCCACGACAATGTGAACAGGCAGCTTTCTCTCTGCTTCACAGACACGCCTTTCTAAGGGAGCATAACATTTTGCAGACTGGGAACAAAGAAAGAAATAACTTCTATCACAAAACATTTGTAAAATTCTTACAAAATTTAAGTTGTACTGTATGGTGAACTGATCTCTGTTAACTACTGCAGTTCAAAGCACACTAGGAATTGGGAATGTCCAGTTTGTGTTGCTACTATAATCAATAAATACCTGAGATAAGAGATTTGTGGGTTTATTTGTATTAAATATAGTCAACTGTCAATGGAAACAACTGTACTGAAAATTGACAGAAAATCCCTTTGTTCTGAATGGCTCATATTGCCTGGATTTTAAATACTGTTCTGCTAAGTGCACGTTTCATATTAAAGAAAGTATCTTATTAAAACATACATTTTTTAATGCTGTATAACAGATGTTGGTGTCTGCTAAATATTTGCATATTTTGATCATACATTAAGTAAATGCCTTAAAAAGGAGAAGAAGCATTAAAATTAGTCATGAAAAAGTAATACTGATCTCTTCTAACACACTAGTAATCTGTATACATCTAACAAATATTTAATATTAATACATATTTTAATACAAACCATTTTATTTTTATCATCTAGAAGGAACATAGGTTGGCTCAGAAATATCTTTCTCAATCCAGTGAAGCTTTGCTACAGTGTATGGGTATTGCATTCAGTCATGATATTACTGATGTACTGGCTCCTGCTAGTTTTGAAATGGTTGAATGCTTTCGACAGTTTGATCCAGTTTCAACGAGCCAGTTCTTGGCACTTCATCAGGTAATGAAGCTAATGTATTATGCTTCTTTCCAGTATAAAAAGGGTGTTTTAAGTTACATGAGCAAAAATGTCTATTCATATAGCCTGAAAATTTGTCATACAGAACACAATGTATGAATACATATAAGAATTAGCGAGTAATACAGGTAACTAAATACATGATATGTTTGCTGAGTTCAAAATGTTTGATCAGTGGCTTTTTAAGAATTCTAGTATCTGTTGCGTTTGACTTGATGTTTTCATTGATGATGCATACATTAAAAGATTTTAATATGAATAAATTACTATAATGTGGTTAGCTAAGATAAGACATTACCACAAAATACAGTTTCATCCTTCCCTAACAAATAGTTTTTAAAATGTTTCTCTGGATTTGTTCATTCATTATTTTGAAGTAGATAGGAAAGGTTTACATTCAGTTCATCAAATCAACACCTACACAGCGTGGTCCCATAGATGGCTCGGAGATGTATGAATCATTCATGTGAGTATGTGCCTTCATCACAGAGAAGATGAGGAATGGCTACATCAGGAGCAAATAATGCATACTTCCTACACCATCATCTCCGTTGTAGAAATACAGAAATGCACCTTACACTAGTTTCCTTCCTGCCACATCAAGGCAATCACAGGAAATTACGACAGACAGTAGTAAGCACCTGCCTCTGTGTCAACACTTAGATTTGCAAATACCTCCACCCATGGGTGGAATGGACTAGGTAGGTCTTTTGATAAATCAGAAAACAGCTAATACTGGGTTTCGTGGTTCAGTCCTTTATTCCTGTACTCCTGCAGTACACCATATTATTTATGGTTTGCTGTCATACTTAGTGAACAAGCTAAGTAGAATGCATATCAAGGCACCAAAACCATGAGTAGTCATGTCTTTTACTGGGCAAAAAATTCTGTTAATTCAGTTACTATCCTGCCCAGAAAGGTTTGTATTTTTAAAAAAAAAGTTTAAAATGTCATTCCATGTCAATATTAAGCCTCCCTTTGGAATTTTTGATTAGGTCAACCTGAATTGCATTTTTTTAATGTGACAGCTGCATTAAAAGAAAAAAATATGCTTTAACTCTTAGCAAGCATCGGTTCAAAGGACAGGGTTGGCACATTTGCTGAAAGAAAAGGATATAGTCTTACCCTGTACATTGCTCTTTGTAGGAGGTCTCTTAAAATGTGTGATGTGATGGCTATACAGTAAAAGGCACAGAAACACAGAAAATACTCAGCTTACTTGAAAGGCTAAGTTCAGAACACAGGCATTTGCCTTTCCATGTAGACCTTAGATGACTAAATGCAGGAACATAGATGATAAATGTAGACAAAGAAATCAATTCTAGCTATTCATATTTAAGAAATCTTCATAAGTTATTGCCAGACTATTTACATTAGATTGTAAACAGAAATAGCAGACAGGGTTTTGCTAATCCATCTCACCTTTCAAACAGGGGACTTTAACATACATATATGTTATAACAAACATAGAGTATATATGTATTCATATTATTTTTGGGAGGAAAAATAAATAGATATAAAAATTTTACAGAGCTGTTCAGCGTCTATGATGATGAAGAGTATCCTTCTAACAGCTACATCTAACACCAGCAGCTCTCAGCTGGCAGCATTACTGCATCTTCAGAATCATTTAAAACAAAACAGAAACACAAGTGATCTTCTAAAAAATGTGGAACAGCAACTGACTGCTACTTCAATGGTAACTTTTTGAGATGTGCTACTTATTAGGGGTTTATATGTATGTTATATAAATACACACAGAGACACGTATATACATGTATACATACATATATACACACACATGCACAGATATATATCGTTTCAGTTATTCCTGGAATGAAATAATATTTCATCTGTTTTCTTTAAACTCTATTAAATTTTTTGTTTTCTTAATTTGAGTCATGAATCGAAATACATTTTTATTAGTATGGTATGTACTGTCTGTGGTTTTGTTTATGCTAGATTATCTGTATGGCATGAGCTACATAATTTAAGTCAGAAGTGAGATTTTAAGGATGCAATTCCAGTTTGTCTTATAGTTACAATTTGGTGTATGAGTCTGGGCATCAACTAAACTGTGGTGTTGCAAACTGGATATTTAAACCAACCAGTAAAATGTAATTTGTAGTTCTGGAGCAAATAATGGATAAACTTTTCTGGGAGATAAATACTCTGTCTTTCGGTCTAAGCTGGCTGAGAACTGCGTATTCTTCAAATGTCTGAGATTTAAAAGTGGATGCAAAAACTAGGATTGGAAGACCCTAGGTTAGAAATGAATGAAATTAAAAACTGCCAGTGAGTGAGATACAAAGGATTAGCTGTAGCTGGCAGGGTTTAAGCATTTACAAAATGTGGCAAGCAGAGATACAGTACAGGATAAGAAAAGTACGTGTTTGTAGGCTACTGTTTTGGCTTTTCTCTGTATGTGCTGTATTATCTTATTTAGCAGAAGGAATAGGATAATACTTTGTTTAGAAGCCACTGTTTCTGAGTTGCTGTAATTGTCTAACTGGTAACAGATACCCTAGCTGAAAACATTCATCAATGCCCACCATGTCTGTGCCTGTGGCAATAGCTCAGGAAAGAAAAGGTGGCAATCAAGATATTTGTTCATGGCTGCATTCTTGAACTGCATGATTCCAGGCAGCGTGAGATGAAAGAAATCAAAGTGGTCACTGAAGTAGTTCTCTCTGAGGGTCTATTAGTGTTTTTTAAAATTCAGTTGAGATTTTTAGTTCAGATCAGGAATGCACTTTGAAAGTGAATCTCCCAGTTGTCCTTGCGTACGGTGCTTTGCTTTGTGTCGTGGTACAATGACTGTGCAAAGGCTGGGTTCCTCTCAGACAAAAACTGAACAGGTTTCTCTGATGCACTCAAGCCACACTGGGTGGGCATTCAGTCCAGGGGGCCAGTCCAGAAGTGCTCTGAAGTAAAAGTCAATGAAAAGTGCACAGTGTATAATTCTGCTCCTGATGATCTGTACCACTTGATAATGTAGGTATACCCAGAGTGTACCCAGTGTGCTTAAGCACATAAAACTTCAATCTGAAAAACACATAAACACACATGTTTAAAAGCAGCAGTGTCAAAAAAACATTTATGGTCCTCTGCTAGGACCAGTTTTTCACCTGAGTCAGACTCCTTAGTCACTAGGAGGTTTTTGGTTGGTTTTGGTTGTATTTCCTCAAAAAGGGTTGTATATTATTTAGTAAAATATTTTTGTGGTGGGTTGACCTTGGCTGGTTGCCAGGTGCCCACCAAGCTGCTCTGTCAGTCCCCCTCCTCAACAGGACAGGAGGAGAAAATACAAGGAAAAGCTCATGGGTCAAGACAAGGACAGGGCTATCAGTCTTCCATTACTATGACAGGCAAAACAGAGCCAACTTGGGGAAATTAATTTATTGCCAATTAATAACAGAGTAGGATAGCAAAAAATAAAAACAAAACTAAAAAAGATCTTCCCCCCCTTAAATCCTGTTGTTTGTACAGAGCCTCCTGTCCTGGCACATCTGCTGAGTGTTTTGGCATTTTTAAATTATATTATATTATATTATTATATTAATTATATATTATTATATTTATTAATTATAATATTAGCACCTTCTTTCCTAGAATTATTATCAATTTTCTTATGAAAGAACTGAGATTGGGGTATATAAAATCTATGAAAATAATGCTACTTTTGAATTATTGTACAGGCATGGAGAAATCTCTGTGTTCCTGTTGAACATTTTAATATAATGGATGAATTGCCGTCTGATTTCTGCATAATTATTCTCCAACATTCAGAAGACAGGTATAAAATTTAATCATTTTGATTTAGCATTCTGTTTGTTACAAAAGTCATCTTTTTTCACCTGTAAATGATCACTATTTTGGTTGTTTATTGCCTTTTACTTCTAATTTTGCTGGACTTGAATTTTAGGATAGTGAACAAATTAATATGTAAATAAAACTGCCTGCAGCTTAAAGCTCTACGTTTTTCTGTACTTTTGATTTCCCTAATTATCTCTTAAATCTCCAGAGATCACTTGAAAAGTTTCAGGCCATTCTTGATATCCTCCTAAATTCTGTTAATAGTTTCCAGCTCTTATTGCTTATGCTCTTGAAAATGTTAGGAGGGGTCATATTTAGCTTTAAAAAGCCACAAATTATCTCATTACTGCAGCCTAATTAGCAATGACTCATAAATTGAGCTACAGCAACTGACTATGAGTACCTTCACCAGTTGTGAAGGTAAACATAACAATAAAAAATTGTTATGGAACAAATAAAAATCTACCTTACTGGATATATAGCAATGAAACACCTTTCCTTACAGCTCTCGGTTTGTTCCAGTTAGATTTTCTAGGTTTTGCACCCCAAGGTGAGGGTGAATACTGCATCTTGAGAGTATTTGTGAGCACGTTAAATTAGAGGGTAATAATTACTCATCTAATAAATTTGCTTCATAGAAACAAGGCTGAACAGTCAAATAATCTACTCAGCAGTTTTCTGCTTTCCATAGATCAAATTTGTACAGTTCATTGATTGAAATGCCAAAAGTAAGTACTGCACAGCAAAAAGGAAAACCCACTCAGCCAATGGGTAAGTGCCTCCTACATTTAAGAGATAAAAAGCATTGCACTGATGTTATGAGAAGGTTCATATCTTTCACTGTTGCAGTCAGTAAAATTTTAAAATAATTTTTAAAATAATTGTAACTTATTAATACCAGAGGAAAGAAAATACCTAAATACATGTGTTTCGTTATCAGATACAATGTATCTAGTCACTATTTACAGAATTTTTGTTTATATTTGAAGGCTAAATTTGTTAAAGATAAATAATCGTAGAGATTTTTTTCATTGTACATTTCGGTATATATTTTGTGCTAAATATATATATAAACAGTTACTTCATTTTCAAAGAATACCATGGCTTTAGAAACTGATGATTTCTGTACAGTCATTTCTTCAAGTACAAATATGATGTCTCAAAAAGAGTCTTAAGATGGTGTTATCCTCCTTTTAATAGTGCAGGCTAAAGTTTCTCGATTTCCTGTGAACCCTGATACATTTAGTATTTTGTTGGAAAAAGTGCATCTTTACAAGCAGCAAAAGATGAAGAGTCATCTTAAACAGACTGTCATTCAAAACTTGCAAGAGTGTGTCTCCAAAACAGATGTGGTAATATATTTGATTACCTTATATTTAAAATAGGGTGAAAAACATGTACTAAAAAACTACCATAAACACTCTTTACGCAGAATTTTCTGTTTATTCCAGGTGTGATATCTCTAGTCTTCACAGTTGCTAAATACTGTGTATTCTGCTTCAAAATTTAATCTTACTGTTATTCTGTTACAGTTTTCAATGTCATTCAGCAGCTTTGAAACAATCAGTAGTTTATCAGAATTGAAAATTGATGCAGTTGAGATCAATTTACTTGAAAATGTGCCGTACCTCTAAGATCTGCATTTGCAGATGTACATTGCCTTTCATATCACATGAAAGCCCCAGCTGTCCCAAGAAAAAAAAATGGGATTATAGATCTCAACCCTTTAATCAAAATAAAACTATCTTAGCCAGAGATTTATTACTGATTTCCAATACAGAAAAGTTTCTTTCTAGGGCAATATCTTTTGCACTATAGCTGTTTATTTGGACACAGTTGATCCAAGTCTGTTAGTCACAAAATTTTGCTTCAAGGACACATCTCATTGGAATTCCAAGTTTGTAGCTATGAACACTCTTAAATTCTATATGATAAAAGTTTTCTGTTACTGCAAGAAGGCTCAGTTCTATAAGGACATTGTTTTTCACAATCAGTGAACACACGTGTAGCATAAAGGTACACTGGAAAAGCCTGTGACTTTCACATAAGCTTTTAAGCTGTAAGGTGACAAAGTTTTCTACATGCGAAATGTGCAAGTCTACATCCTAGCACTCTAATTTACTTTAATTTTGGCTGCCTTAGATAAAATTCAGGTTTTTCGATACCAATCAAAATTCACTGTTAAAATATAGCATATTAACAAAAGCTGGTATAGACCTATTTCCATCATTAATATAAAGGTAAAAAATATTGATCATACTGAATTTTCTATACAAGTTTTCTTTGTTTAAATCACACAACTTTGACACATCCGGTTCTTGAATTATAATTCTGTTTTATTCATCATGTTAGTTTCTTTCAGTTAAAATACTGATTATTGCAGATGGTTGAAGTGTTGATCACTTTTTCTCTTGTCCATGGCCAGCCTTTGTTGTAACGGCAAGTTACATAGATTGCTGTAGTTGCATAAGTAAAGAAAAAGGTGATAAGATACTGTCAGGTAGAACAGACGAAAAAAAAAGTGGCTTAGGTTTTTAAAATGCATGTGCATTACAACTTTCAATAATTATGCATGCAACCTGCACAGAGCCACACAGACAGAGCTTTGGGTGAGAAGTCCATTCATTAATACCAACACTCTTTGCCATTTAGTTGAGCTCGTTTTTCCAGTTAGTGTTTTTGTGTCCATCTGTATTGGCTTTTAGGAGCTCGAGTTTTTAGTGTCATCTTCTCCTACATGTTTCTATTCTCTCCTTACCTATTTTCTTCATTCTGTTTATTTTTTTCCTAAATTGGCTCCACTGATCTCTCCATACACTTTCATTTGCTTCTTCTACATTCATCTTGCAGTTTCTGTTTACTTCTCAAAATTGTCCTTTCACAATTTCTTCCTGTGATTTGGATTGCCACATTATCTTTTCTTTTTGCTGGACTTCCCTGCCATTCCCCATTAAAATTGCAGAAGTATATTAATGGCTTAAATAACAAATATGGACATCTTGTATTGATTCCTATGTTAGAATATTTGAAAAATGCTGATAGGAGTGATGTTTTGAAGTAAAGTAGTTTTGAAACTGACTTTCTATATTTATATTTTCCATTTTACGATGTTTCAAATTATTTGATTTAGCCTCTGATTTAACATAATACATCCTCCATCCATGTTAAATAGCACTTTGTAATTATTCTGTTTTTTGTTGCAATGTGTGTGATAGACTCCAACAGAGAAAACAGATGATTATGGACATGATTTGACATCAGATTTCTCAGAAATATTAGAAATTATGGAAGAATATCTGAAACCGGTACTGTCACAGTTTGATTTTTCTGATATCAGGTAAGACATTTAGACTTGTTTTATCATCATTCATGAAAATAGAATGGTGACTCAAGTCCTACAAATACAGGGATGGTTATAGCAAGAACAGACCCTGTTGAATGAACTTTTACATCTTGAAAGACAGATATGCAGGATATGCAAGATCAAGTATTTAGTATACTTCCAAAGAGATTATTCATACACTGGATTGAACCATATGATAGACTAATGGCCATCTCTAATAAGCACTGTTCTCCAGCTTAAGTTATACAATATTGAGTTCAGGATGAGACATTATAATTTAACTAGTTAAGGATTTCCAAAGGACAGGGACTCCAAAGGGAGTACATCCTTTGTGTAAAATTTCACCGAGATTGAAGCAGTTTTGTCTTTGTGTTTCCTGTGAAAACTTTTACTTACATAAGTATTAGTGCTGGTAATATTTTCACTGTAATTCCTCTTCCCAGAGAACAGAGCACATCAGTTTCAGCAGCTGAATCAGGAAAAATAAAAGTGAAAGACAAGGACACCAAACACACTAGAATGCGGGGTATGTGCTCTCTTGAGTACAATATATGTATATGTGTTTGTGTATGGACAAATACCAAAATCCTCTCATTTTAGTTTCAATTTTTTTGAAGCCAGGGAGAAGAAAAAGGCTTTAGCAGTGGTTTTGTCTGTTTATTTTCTATATCAAGTAAAGTATTTTGGTATACTTCCAAAGAGATTATTCATACACTGGAAGGAGGTATCCTTCTGCATGTATTTACAGTCACAGAATCATAGAGTAATAGAATCATTAAGGTTGGAAAACACCTCTAAGATCATCGAGTTCAACCATCAACCCAACACCACCATGCCCACTAAACCATGTCCCTAAGCGCCTCATCTACACGTCTTTTAAATACTTCCAGGGATGGTGACTCAACCACCTCCCTGGGCAGCCACATCCAATGTTTAACCACTCTTTCAGTAAAGAAATTTTTCCTCACATCCAATCTAAACCTCCCCTGGCGCAACTTGAGGCCATTTCCTCTTGTCCTATCGCTAGTGACTTGGGAGAAGAGACCGACCCCCACCTCGCTACAACCTCCTTTCAGGTAGTTGTAGAGAGCGATGAGGTCTCCCCTCAGCCTCCTTTTCTCCAGGCTAAACAACCCCAGTTCTCTCAGCCGCTCCTCATAAGACTAGTTCTCCAGACCCCTCACCAGCCTCGTTGCCCTTCTCTGGACACGCTCCAGCTCCACCACCAGTCTTGAAACTATACAGGCTTTAGACAGCTGAATAAAATGGCTTTATTACAAACCAGTCTTTTCAGGAGAAAGGCCAAAAGAAAGAACTTTCTTAAATCTGTTGATCTCTTTTTGTTTTGTCTTTTCCTGCTTTTTACTTTATGGACTCTCAAGGGTTTTTTGCTTTAATGCAAGCCTAATGCTGGAATATGTCCCTAAACACATTCCAAGAGAAGAGGCAATCAAGTCCATGGCTTGCTTTGGGGATGAGTGTTTTGCTTTATGGTGGGAGGCAGTGAGGTTTCTCAATTAAAAATTACTGAAAAAAAAGATACACATTTGCATTTGCTTTTACCTGCAAGAGTTTCTTTCTGCAAACTGGCAGCTGGCTGCTTCTGTTGTTCTGCAAAGCCTGAATAACTTGTCTGCCATGTATTTGTTGTTTCTCTGTAGAACAGAAAAATGTTGTCATAATGATATTCAGTAGTTTTTTTCTAAATAACAGAAACAAAAAGTTTCCTACAGAAGATACAGTTAGTATTGGATAAGAGCTCCTTTACAACTCTATACTGTTTAGCCAAACACTGCTAAGGCAATTTTGCATTTCCAAAGATAGAATCATAGAATCATAGAATAGTTTGGGTTGGAAGGGACCTCTCAAGGTCATCTAGTCCAACCCCCCTGCTGTGGGCAGGGACATCTTCAACTAGATCAGGTTGCTCAGAGCCCCGTCCAACCTGACCTGGAATGTTTCCAGGGATGGGGCATCCACCACCTCTCTGGGCAACCTGTGCCAGTGTTTCACCACCCTCAGCGTAAAAAATTTCTTCCTTATATCCAGTCTAAATCTACCCCCCCTTTAGTTTAAAGCCATTCCCCCTTGTCCTGTCACAACAGGCCCTGCTAAAAAGTTTGCCGCCATCTTTTTTAGAAGCCCCCTTTAAGTACTGATAGGCTGATACATCATTTTCTTGAATACATTGCATACACCTGGACTTCAGTCTGAGATGGTTGGTTATTAAAATGGGGATATTTTTCTCCATTCTGAAGAATCAGTGCTCACAAGTGCATATGGATAGAAGTTTGACATCATCTTAGGAGTAACGGTATCAAAAGAAATATTTTTGCATAATGCACTTAATCCACAGTAAAATGGAGTTCAGGTGTCATACAATAGAGGAAATTTAGGTTTTTACATCTAACTTCAATTATTTATGTACATACTGAGAACTACTAAATCTCAATCATGTTCTGTCACATTTCTTCAGGTACACCTATGGATTTAGGATTGTGTGTGGTATTACTAGCAGATACATTATTTATGGAATTACCTTTGGAAGCTCTGAGGATCTTTAAAGAGGAAGGAATAAGTTCTGTATCCAGAGATTTTTCTCTCCAGATTCTCTACAATCGAGTACATCTGGCTGAATCAGGTACTATTAGATAAAAATTCTTTGCATTAGCATAATGATGCAGCGAACAAGATGCTTAAAATTTAAATAATATGAATGGTGTATTATATTTTACTGGAAGACTGCCACATACAATAGGTTTCCGGTATTTTAGGTGGAATAGATAGTACAGTAGACTTATTTCAGTAACGTACAGACTGATTATAATTGCAATGCTAGCTAATGTAAAATAACCTCTAGATATTAAAGAATTACGTAAAACACGGTGGAGTCTAAATTGGCTGGCAAAGTCTCAGTTATACAAGTATGGTCTTAAACTCTTTAAAGCTGTTTTCAGCTGCACTGAAAAAACTGAAATAAGAATTCAGACTTCTGTTAATTTTCTTTAACATTAGTGTAAGTCTTTGCTCAAAATATCAAATGTAAAAAACTTTTAATCATTGAGCTACTTCCTCTCTCTACAGCTAAGATTACATTAAGGGCTGAGGTCAATCCAGAGATTCTTGTGCTCTGCATGAGCAAAATCAGATCCCACAGGCTTTATGGACTTCTGTCATTACTGCAGACACTTGCACCCTATATAAACTCTTCAGTGAAATGAGTTTGTTAAGTGAGGTGGTTGGACAGTTGGCAAACTTGTCCTTATGGCATCCTAAAATTAATTTCTTATTTATTCTAAAAGTGAGTAATAAATGCAGGCACAAAGCAGTTTTTTGTATAAATCAAAGATACCTTCTATTACCAAAGCTAAAAATTTGAAGTCACATTTTGCTCATACATAGATAAAAACACATTTTAACTCAAATTAAATTATTAAAACTAGTGGGCCTAAGCTAAAAAATAGGCTAAGTTTAGAAAATCTCACTCTGTACCATAAAAGTATTCTGTTCCAGAGAGGTTCTTGTATTGTGTTTATATCTGTAATATTTAGCACCGTCAGTATAACCTGTCCTCTGTTTTTCCATTTCACCCCTCCTTTCTAAAGGGAATTTAAGTTTTGAATAATCTGAGATTAGAGTATTTTTTGTCTACATACATACTCATACACTGTTACAGGTCTGTTAGAAATAGGAGTTATAGAACATGTGGGTGTTTCTTTTCTATTTCTGTTTTTCCCTTTTTTAAAGTCAAACTTCTTATGGTTGCATAATTTTAGAAGTGGATAAATGAGAGGAAACATAGTTGAAAAGTTTACGTTCATGCAGTTATGAAAGTAGCCACTGAATGAGGAGAGAAACGCTAGCCATATGAGTAATAATGCGTATCTCAAACTTCGACCAACTTGCAGTGCACTGCAGTGGTAACTGGCTGAGACATGTACTTTGGGTGATAGTCATACATACAGTAAGAAATATGTCAGTTTTCTGTGCTTTTTTCTTAAATCCCTTAAAGAAATAAAAAATCAGATTCAAATATGAAACTTGCTTTTTCCTTTTGGTCTCTGCATCTCACAGAAGCTTCAGTTATTCCAGTAACATCAACAATTAATAGATATGGGAATAGGCGTAGAAAGTGCTTTGGTAACCACTGTTCAACTCTGTCCTAAATCTGCAATGTAATGAAGCATTTGCGTGTCTAAGGGATCTCTTGCTTGTTTTCCACTTTCAAGCCATTATTTTTAGGCAAGAGGGTTTGGGGAATGTCCTTGCCTTGCTGTGATGTGAAATTAATTTTTATTTTTCTAGTTTAATCTGTTATTACATCATAACAAATATAAGTAGTCCTTCAAGAAAGTTGTATTTTCTAAAACTGCCTGTATCTTAAAAAAAAAACCTGTTCTTTTCAATTCCACAGAGACTGAAGTTAAAACAGATGTTGAAATGTCTAAAGAAACAAAACCAAAAGCTCATCAGAAAAAGAATGTCAAAATGGTGAACTTTCCACATTTTTTAAGTAAACATGATAGGAGTAGGTCTTCTTTTTGTGTAAAAAATGTTGAAGAACTACAAGTGGCTTGCATAGAAGCTCATTATGTATGCTAGAATTCTGAAGTGGAATAAATGTCACATTAAGTCCATAAGAATTTTGCTTCTTGTTGATTTTGCAATAATGACAGTTGTTGTTTCATTGAAAAATCATACTCTCTGTGTAAATGTGTCATACTTAACAACTCACCAAGGGAGCTGTTTAAAGTTACTAAAATACCTCCCCCAACAATATAGTATATTTTATATAGTGTATGCACATATTTTTATAAATATATATGTATGTATGCATATATATCTATATATGTGCATGCCCATGTGTATATATATGTAATGTATGTATATGCGTTGTAGATAATGCAGAATAGCTTATGCTATTTAGTTTCCATTGGCAGTTGAGTATCATGCTGCTTTTAATACTACCTTCAAAACTTTAGGACATCTTTTTGTTAGTTGCTTGACCCAAAGAATGCAATACTGTTAATATTTGATTGAGGCTTCTGCATGTAATAGAATATGTATTCTTTTTAATAGGCACCAGTTAATCGTGATTTACCCTCTAATTGCTTGTCTGTTGACACTCATAATTTTAAATGTATCCTTTCACAAACTATTAGCTAAGTGTATCAGTTAAACTTTCTTTTTTTGTTGTTTACATTGCATTGTTTACACTTAACTGTTTATCAGATATTGTGGACCCCTATAATGAAGGAAGAGAGGCAGGTAATATATATTAAATCATGTTTTCTCCACAAATGACCCATGGAATTTAGAAATTTGTGTAACAGAAAATGAAGTCATGACATCAAGATGTTGACAAAAAAGCTTAGCTTTTCATCAGAACAGTACTGCTTATCACCTGTCAAATGGTGCATCAGTGAAACAATATAACCTGTTTCAGGTTCAGGAAAGAAATCAGATTGTCTTATTATTTCTTTCTTCTACCTCACTTTTTCTCCCAGTGTGTGCAATAGTTTAACTGATTCACATTCATTAGCAAACTCACATGTATATCAAATGCCAAAAATTGATTTAATGGAGGTTTTTAATTGAGATAGTTATTAAACCTAAACTCAACGCAAAAGAAGCTACTGAACAATCAGTAGCATAATAGAGTATGACTCCATATGTTTGCAGTTTCCCCTTCACAGCAGTTCAAAATAAAACACTGTTTACCATGTGCTCAATATCTGGCTCTAGAGTGTATCTTTAATTTACAGTAGTACAAAAATGTGGTCAAAAAAGATAAAATGAATTATCATTAAATATGCAATGTCCTTGGAGAGCAGAGGTGGGTTTGGAGTCTTGCTTTCTGAAATCAGGGCACTGGAAACTCAGTTATTTTCTTCATCTGCTTAAGTCCCCTCTGAGCCTCTGGAACAGAACTCTATGAGCAGTGCTGGTGTTTTCAACACCTTACGCTTTTCTCAGGGTATCTAAAATTTTTTCTTTGTGCTTTTAAAGTCTTTAACCTGTCTACTGAGTAATCCTTGTCAGTTATAAAATATATTTCAAATGAGAATTATGAACAATTTTACTCAGAAAATGTCACAATTGCTACAGTTTTAAAAGCTGGACTTAGATTACAAAAAACTTAAGATCTAATGATGGCCTAAAAAACCCTAAATATTATATTGTCATTTTAAAATGATTGAAATTAAGATTGCCCAACATCCTTTGTAGCACATTAAGCTCGTAATTATGAAATTCTATTGTTACAGAAGCTTTAAGTCCTTCCCAAAAGATAAAGGAAATCCTAGAAAAATACCATGGCCTATTTACACTACAGTGGGAAGGAGTTATTGGCAACATACGTGTTCCAAGGTTTGTAATATTCTATCTGCTTTCATGTTTTATCCATGTTTCTTTTTTAAAATTGTGCCTATTCCCAGAGGCTTCAGTCATACAATAGGGTCACATTTTGCTGAGCTGGTAAACACATAGCTAACCATTGTCTTTGTTTCAAACGCATATTTAGATTTGTAGGCAGAATATTTTAGGGATCTGAAATACAGTGCCACAAAGTGATTTAGCCAGATTGGTTGCGTCAGAGTTGCTGTATATGTAGATAATCCAATTTTGACAAAAAGTCTACTGGTGCAGTCTTTGGTGATTATTTTAAGTATATGTGAGCATAAATGTAATTTCTGGCTTTGCTCGTAACTGTTTTTAAATCCAAATATTAAAAACTATAGCATCTTCGTGCACATTGAGTCAGCTGTAAGGTTGGAGCACAGATTTCAGAAGCAAAGTAGTGAAGGTGCATTTCAATTTACAATTTCAAACATCTGATCGTGAAACTAATACCATTTTATGGAGCTTATTCATGAACACACTTCGTTCTTTATAGAAGTACTTTTAAGATCGTAGAAATAGAGGCATAAAAGGGATCTCGAGAGGTCAAGCAGTGACAAGTCCTGTGAGTCGACACAGTCATCACTGGACCTTCCTTTATAACTGCTACTTTAATCAGTCCTTTGAAATCTTCTCTACTTAGGTAAAATCACTGTGTAGGCACTGTAGTGTTTCTTCATAACAATTACAAAGATTGTTACTTGTTATCAAATTGCATAGTTTTTGCTGCCAGCTAGGCTGATTATTTGCATCTCTTTTCAAAACCTAATTTCTTTGTATCCTGATGGGTACATACATGAATACTCCCATTGGACGTTAGGCTGAATATTGTTATTTCAAAGATGTACAATGCATACATCGATGATTTTTTTTTGAGAGTCTGGTATTTATCTAAAAATACACTGTGCCTCTTGTTTACTATGATGTTAATAAGCTAACTATACCTCTGTATTAAAATAATAATTATTAATAGTTCATATGAGTTATTACACTTCCCATAGAATTCTGCAGTCTTCTTTGTCTCCTTGCTTTGCATGCTGACTTTTCTTATAAATATTTCTGGAGTAAATAACACTGAAGTGTTTGCTATGGATAATTTCTGAAAAATATTCTTGTAAAATAGTAACACAAAAGTAACTTCCTTCCTTTCTTCTTCCTGCCTTTCAGCCAAGCTGAATGGGAGCAGCTGCTGACAAACTGCAGTGCATTTCTATTCTATGGGATGGAGAGATTAATGTCTCAAATTTTACTCAACAGATTGGCTGCTATGAACATCCCAAGTGAGATAAGCAAACTGAAAAATACTTTTTTAACTACACCACCTTTTGTTCCCAGCTGTGTTTATTTCATACTGTATGATTATCACAGTATTGATGTTAGCAATTAAGGGCTTTTTTCAAGATCCAGGGTTTTAATCGGAAAAACTCTGCATTATGTAGATTTTATTCTATTGCATAGCTTCCCTGTTATTCCTCACAAATAAGTTTAGTCCTTATCCACTTTCAAATGTTGGAATTTCTTAAATTCCAAAAGTTGAGTCATCATCTGATGGTTTTCCCAGTAACTCCCCTCCCTTTCTATGGAATTTAGTATTTGGTAGCAAAGTATTTTTTATTGTTAAGAACAACCTCTGCAGTACCACTTCTCCAAAATTCCTCAGTCTCCTCTCAAGCAAAGCAGAATTGTCTGTCGAGAATGGGTTAATACTGAATGATTTCTCTGGTATTATGGAGCATTTGTAGACTCTGAGAAGGTATTCTCTGCTTCTTCACAACTAATTAGCCTTTCTGGTGTTGTAGCATAAGGCTTAGATTCAGGACTGGTTTTTCAGATTCACAATCTTCCTTTCTCCTCCTATTCCCCTTGCACATCTGGATGAAGCTCAGCTTTGGAGTTGTGCTGAATTTGTCAGGGTAGCTGAATTGCTAGCTTCCATCTATATTGTGTTGAGATGTAAAATTCAGAAGGACAGTACACATCAGATTGTGAAGCCCTGCAAGTAACAGGAAGCTTCTTCAGGAAGCGTTTTTCAAAGTGATTTAAACATGTATATGTAAATCAAGAAAATACGTCTTCCTATATACATTGGTCACTCTTGAAGGTGAGGTTTCAGATGTCTGTAGGCCAGATATTTACAAGTCTGGCAACTTTTGGAAAGTTCCTGAGCACCTTGTTAACTCTCACCCTGTGTCCTGCTCTTAAAATATGCCAGGATTAATTCTCCAGTGCATCTTATTTCCTTTAATGGTAAATAATTTTAAATTTATTGATTTTAGTCCTCAAAGGATTGTTCTATTTTCTGACCACCTACATAACTTCTACTTGTTAGCTGGTGAAATTACTGTTGTCTTGCAGACTGAGTTTGAATCTATTGTAGAGCCAATCTTCATGTTAAAAGTACTTTTATTAATAACTATGAACTGTGTCTGAGGTTTCTGAGGGCTCTAACCTGGTCCCAATATTATTAAATATTGTTGTAGGTCATTTGCATGATGAAATAGAGTATATCATTGCTGAATCTGGGTATGAGACCAGGCTGAAAAAGAGGTTCAGCAACTCTTGAAATGCAGGATTAGAATGCAAATTAACCTTGCTTTATGGCAATAATTAACAGGGTGTAATTCAGGAAGAGCTAGAGGGAGGTGTTATGCTTAAGCAGAAATAATAATTTAAACATTAATAAGTTAGGGAATGACAGCTTAAGGGGCAGAATTACAGAATAGAGTCAAGAGGTGGATCACAAATTAAATGATGTCATCTTGCTAGGGAAAAAAAAACCAAAGCTCTGTATAGGGGTAACTATACAGGCATGTCATTTGCAAGATATGTGAAATAATTCCGCACTCTACCTAGTTTTGCAAAGGTCTCAACTGGAGAAGAATATTGACCAAATAAAATAAGTTACCAGTGGAGAACATTAAGAGTGGTCAGAAGGCTATACCACAGATTTGTGTGCATAGTTTTATTAATAAATGTGTATGTGCATTCATACATATATATGCATATAAAACATACTTTAGGAGGAAAGATTGACATATTGAGGGGAGACATGATAATAGTTCTCAAGTATGTCAAAGGCTTTCCAAGCAGAAAGGTAATTTACTTCTCATCTGCTTGGGTTAGGAGAATAAGTAACAGGTTTAAGCTGCAGCAAACCAAACAGTAGGGAGCTTTTTAATTCTAGGAGTATTCTAAGTTATTTCACTGGGGGCCTTTAAGGAAAATAAGGAATGTTTGAGACGTAACTTGGTCCTAACTTGTGGAGAGGACCTGTGGTAGATAACATTTCCATACCTCCATCTTACAAGAGTTTATAACTGCAGAATTGAGTTATATAGGGCATTAGCCTGTAATAAGATGGTATGTGTTATGTTTAGCATTATTAGTTATGCTAAAGTGGCAGAGGAAAAAAACCTGCAAAACACTGTGGAAAAGTGTAGCAAAGTAACCCTAACGTTATTTGATGCAACTTTATTAGTATTCTTTTACTTAATACTTGACAATTTTGGCTGAAATATATAAATCTTATATTAGTTGTTTAGACTGTGTTCAAGAAAGTCATTACCTTAAGAAAGGCCTGATTTACTTGTATTTATTATGTTGGGCATTATTATTAGTGCAAATACCATTGCTATAACATATTTTTTTCCAGAGTGCCATTTGATGATAATTCTAGATCTGGTGCGATCAAAGCAAAGTTATCGAAGAATTACAAACTCTGATATCCACAAAAGGTAGGATAAAGTTTATTTTGGTAAACTTTTGGTAAATCCACCAAAAGGCAGATTATTTTTATTTCAAAGCAAAGTTAAAATATTGAGTTATAAATATTCTCATTTACTTCTGCAAGTAGAAGGGCTCATATCTACACCTAAGGGAGAAGTTAGCCTCTTTATCTTGTAGCTTCATTCTTTACATAGGGCTAAATAGGATGAAAGCTCTGTTACAAGGCAATGATCAAGAAAATACGACACAGAAACATTGCTACATTACACATACCTCCTAATTCTGAGTTCAAGATTCTCAAAATGTTTTAATTAAATATATAAAACTTTCCTTTAACAGAGAAACTGTTAAGAGTCCATCTAAGGTTTCATACACTGAACAGTTTAACAATCAGCCAGTTTTTTTATTTAAATAAATTATTATGGTATGTTAAATAACCTGTTCAGAATCTTTAATATTATTAATCAGAGCTTTTTTAGCTTCAGAAGCATTTCAGTATTTTCCTTGCTTTTAAGTTGACAGGTGGCAGGGTTTATATACTTTTATTGTATATCCATTATGAATTCTTGACAGATGGCACCTGACAAATAACTTTTAAGGTATTAAAAGCAAAAAGAACAGTTTTAGTGGCCTAATTTTATTAATGAGTTATTTATTCCATGCTGAATTTTCAGATAACCCAATTATACCCAAGTGCAGGACCTGGCACTTAGCCTTGTTGAACCTCATACGATTGGCCTCGGCCCATCTATCCAGCTTGTCCAGATCCCTCTGTAGAGCCTTCCTACCCTCAAGCAGATCAACACTCCCACCCACCTTGGTGTAGTCTGCAAACTTACTGAGGGTGTACTCAATCCCCTCGTCCAGATCGTTGATAAAGATATTAAACAGAACTGGCCCCAACAGTGAGCCCTGGGGAACACCACTTGTGACTGACTGCCAACAGGGTTTAATTCCATTCACCACAACTCTTCAGGCCAGGCCATTCAGCCAGTTTTTAACCCAGTGAAGGGTACACCCATCCAAGCCATTAGCAGCCAGTTTCTCCAGGAGAATGCTGTGGGAAATGGTGTCAAAGGCTTTACTAAAGTCTAGGTACACAACATCCACAGCCTTTCCCTCATCCACTAAGCGGGTCACCTTGTCATAGAAGGAGCTCAGGTTAGTCAAGCAGGACCTGCCTTTCATAAATCCA